TAAAAGGCGACTATGCTTGTCGTAAGAGGCGACTAACAGGATCGGATGGTCAGGCTCCCAGACTTGGTAGATGCATGTCATCGTATCCAAATTGCGATGATCTATGCTCATGATGTCAATCACTTGACTGTCTGGTCCAGACTCGATTATTTACAGACTACCGTCATATAGCTGGAATATTGCTGAGTGCGGCGTTAAACAACAAACAAACAAACAATTAAAACACCTTTAATTCTTCCACAGTTGTAGTCCAGCTTGAACCTCTGCCACGGGCACAGTTCCACAGTCCATCCATGAAATATATGTTAATCTTCCGTTTAATTTTTGAAAAGTCAACACATTTTGATAAATACCGGTATATTTACCCCTGGAGTAGTACAGTAAACTACCGTTATAACGAACTCAAAGGGACTACTAATTTTAGTTCGTTATAACCGTAGTTCGTTATAAGTACATATACAGCATGACTACAGCAAGTAGTCGGGACCAAAAAGTAAGTTCGTTATATCCGTCAGTTCGTTATAAGCGTGTTCGTTATAACCGTAGTTTACTGTAATAATAATTAAACAATCTGTAGATCGCACTCATAGAGTTCAGCTTTTAGCACTAAGTGCTCTGATTTCAGTATCAGCGTTTTCCCTTCCACTGATAGAAAAAACCCAGAGATCAGTGAAACCGCCTCATCGCTTTCACATTTACATCCATGCATAATGATTCAGAGTGACAAATCACTCCCCACAGGGCAGTGGGATGACTTCAGCCTTCAAATATTCAACTTACCCTTTATGTCGAACAATATTTCAGCAGCTCCAGCCGTTGTTGTCTACACAACAAGTTAGAATCGAGCTTGCTCTTTCTGAGAAAATTTCAAAGAGCGTCATACGACTTGCTCATCAATTGTTTGATCAGCGGGGTTACAATATTCAAGGCCTTAGTAATTAAAGCTTTCTAAAGGTGTGTTGGTATGGTGTGGAGGATATTACCAAATTTGATGTATCAGTGACCAAAATGATGTCTAATTCCTAGTTTCACTTGTACCATATGTCTTCCTTTATTTTCAGGTGAACAATTGGCTTGCCTTTGCATGTGTTTGTGACTGATGCCACGGGCAGGGAAGGATACGCTCACCTTTTCGCGAACACCTTGTTTCATTTCTAGGTGATAGACATACATAAACACCTGCTTATGACATAGTCGGAATCTTAATGGACGCGTACAATATTTCTTATTATGAAGGAAAGGGTTTTGTAGCTTTTATAAACAATGTGAAAAGTCCGGTCACGTGGTGTACGTAATACTGTGGCGTCACTGCCCAGACGTACTCATTTTTGCGCACAGGGTAAACTATTTGTGCTCCGTGACTGGGTTCCGTCTATACATGTGTTATGATATAGGAGGGATGGGAATCTGCTACAACCAGGTAACAGAGTTTACCCGTGAAGATCCGGGGTAGATTAGGTCTTCAGCAACCCATGCATGCCGTAAAAGGCGACCATGCTTGTCGTAAGAGGCGACTAACAGGATCGGGTGGTCAGGCTCGCACTGACTTGGTTGATGCCTGTCATCGTATAACTGCGTTGATCGATAATCATGATGTCAATCACTGGACAGTGTGGTCCAGACTCGATTATTTGCCTACCGCCGTCATATTGTTGAGTGCGGCGTTAAACAATAAACAAACAAAACAAACAAACAAACAAGGTAACAGAGTTGGATGGGTTTAGGGCCGCTTTCAGTTTTATTACAACTTAAAGTCAGCTGGATGTTATTATAGACTAAGACACAGCCAAATGAAGATGGCGATGTTTATAGACTCTTTTGTTTGCTATTGACTGTTGACCAAGGTGACCCTTTGTTTAGACTAACCACGCTATACCCGTAACATACATGCCCGTTGTGCGGCGTTAAACAACAAGCAAACAATGAAACAAAACATGTCTATTAAAGAGGCTACTACCATGCTGACTACCTCTGACAGAGCAGGACTAGTGAGTGAGTGAATTTGGTTTTACGCCGCAATATTCCAGCAATGTGACGGTGGATGACACCAGCAATTGGTCTACACATTGTACCGATGGGAGAATCGAGACATGACCTTTGGCGTGACGAGCGAGCGCTTTATAACTACAAGGTTACCCATCCGCCCCAGAGCAGGACGAGACCATTGCAGGATGCGCATCCTATAGTCTGGCCGACCGTGACCAGGGCCCACTTGCACAAAGCGATCTTAGTGCTACGACTATTGTAAGCCTATGTTAAAGTATGGGAGTTACGATCATCTTAGTTCTAAGATTGCTTTGTGCAAGTGGGCCCAGATATCCATAGAAATATATACGCATCAACTAAGAAACTGAAGCAACAACGATTCAGTTAGACACACCTATGTTGTGGCTGTGGTTAAGAAAAGGTTCCCTATCCAATTACTTTGAAACCGCTGGTATGGCTGTTAAATTATTTTCATTTATTTCAGCGGTGCGGATACTAAAAGATGTATATTAAGTGTATATATAATAATGCAACGTTATCGCGAAAAACAAGGCCTCGACTAAATTAATTACATACCGTGATGCAGTTATGTGTATATTACCTGCGAAGGTATATTCTTAACTGCACAAATCAATCTTTCATTTCCCGGGAATGAGAGGATTATGCTGTAAGGAGTTACTTCCCTTTGTATCGTTGAGCAGGTTATACGAGCACCCTGGTGTCGACGTTACTCGCCCTACAACAAAGATGTCAGGAGTACCAGAGGAGAGTAAACTTTCCTACAACTTCTTGGGGAGGTCTGGACTGAAGGTGGCCAACATATGTCTCGGCACGATGACGTTTGGGGAAGCTGTCAAACGAAGATACATGAGACCTCCTTTTTGAGGGTTTGCATGTTCGAGGCGCGAGCCAAAAAACGTTAAAATAAAAGGGCTTATCTCGACTGGCATCGTAAGGCCCTGTACCAATTTTGTCTATATGTTTTATGTGTCTGTTTTTTTAGAACAATATGTCACAATACCCCAAAATTGACGCTTTAAAGTAACATTTTATTATTATTATTATGACATATTTCATTTTGTCATACCTAGGGGATATTCACATGCATTCTCCTAGTGCATGTATAACTGAAGCCTATGTATATACATTGTTCAACTTTGTGTCATGCGCTAATATAAGATATAGATTGACGCGTTAAACTGACATTATTATTATGACATATATTTCATTATGTCATACCTAGAGGATATTCACATGCATTCCCCAAGTACATGTATAACTAAGGGCATATATACATTGTTCAACTTTGTGTCATGCGATAATATAAGATATAGATTGACGCATTAAAGTGACATTATTATTTTAATTATTATGATGATGATGATGATCATCATCATTATCATCATCAGATTAGATTTATTTGCATAAACAAGTAAAATTAGTTAAATTAGCAATAACAGCATGCTGATGATGATGATGATCAGCAGATTAGATTTATTTGCATAAACAAGTAAAATTAGTTAAATTAGCAATATCAGCTTCAGCTGCCTCACAACAAGCCTCCAGGTAAGGTGATACCAGACATATATATGTCCTTGAACTATGATAATATCAGTATGAATGAAGCTGACCTACATCCGTCAGTTGGACCAGTCAGTCATGAGACTACTGTCGTGCAGCACTCATCACCTGACTTGCCGACCACACACACATGGCATGCACGTTTTCTCTTCAACGGGCGACCCTGCATTCCTTTGATAAGATACGAAACTGTTCAGTGTCGTACGATGTTCTTTAATGAGTGCCATATGATGTCATTCTGACACAACATAATAAAACAGGAGTGATAATAAAAAATATGTTTAAAAAATCATGCATCCGATTTTTAATGTGTTGAATAGGCATTTATCTAAAGTTTTTTTATCGTATCGTGCACAGCTCTGACTCAGACCCTTTGTGAGTGAGTGAGTGAATATGGTTTTACGCCGCTTTTAGCAATATTCCAGCAATATCACGGCGGGGGACACCAGAAATGGGCTTCACACATTGTACCCATGTCTGGAATCGAACCCGGGTCTTCGGCGTGACGAGCGAACGCTTTAACTACTAGGCTACCCGACCGCCCAGACCCTTTGTGAAAAAGATGGGAGGGAAACGTCATTCATCACATGACATTAACGGTTTTGGTTTGTTTGTTAGTTTAACGTCGCAATGAACAATATTCCAGCTATATGACGACGTCTCTAGATTTTCGAGTATGGACAAGACAATCCAGTGATTGACATCATGAGCATCGATCAACGCAGTTTGGATAGGATGACATGCATCAACCAAGTCACCCGATCCCATTAGTCGCCTCTTATGACAAGCATGGGTTGCTGAAGATCAATTCTAACCGGCACCTTCACCGGGTGACATTGACGATGGGTAATGTCATAAATAGTTCATCAAAAGCATAACTACATTGACATGCAAGATCAGAGATGTAATTTGTTGATGAGGCCTACGTTTGTTTTATATTCTGATGAAAGCATATTTACAGATATTTCATGAAACCCCGTTAATCCGCCGGTACGTTCCCAGTGAAATCGCCAGGCTTAAAAGAAATCCGGATAACTGAAACAAGGGTACATAGTTTAATGATATAAAGATGTTCCCCCAGTACTTGTCCGGAAAGAGGGGTGTCCAGTCTGACAGGGTTTCACTGTTTCCCGGTGCAAAGTGTGTTCAAGGTCACTAATGAAGCATTCACGTTGAGCCACTGGGTTGTTGCTGGCGTCATGATAAAGCTTTTTTCAAGAATTTTCTGGGACAATTTATTTTTTTCGATAAAAATCCACATGTTCAGGAACAGTGATGGGGTGAATTATTTAGGTTTACGCCGCTTTTCGCAATGACCGCTTAACTTGGAACATGACCCCTTAAGTAAGAATACATGTAGGTCATATATTGAAATATTTCTAAATGTGGCCACACAATCTCGTGGTAATGTTGTGCTGTGTCACGCGAGGTAGAGTTACTTCCCTTCGCCTTCAGTTGATAAAGTTTAAAAGACGAGTGTCAGCCCACTGCTGTCGTCATTACTCGCATACAACAACGATGTCAGCTGTACCAGAAGAGAGTAAACTTTCCTACAACTTCTTGGGGAGGTCTGGACTGAAGGTGGCCAACATATGTCTCGGCACGATGACGTTTGGGGATTCGGGGGTAAGTTGGGGACGCCTGACAAACACAGCTGAGAGTGAGACCTCATTTCTGAGGGTCTACATGCATGCGCTTGTCATGTGTAATATAACGTGTATTTATCACCTGATCATTAGGACATAGTTTCTGTAGGAATGTGTATCTGCTCTTCATACACATAGACCTAATTTCAATGCTCGGGGATATTGACATGCACTCCACAGGTACCTGTATAACTAAAGCATATATACCGTATTCGACGTAATAAGCGCCCGACTCTAATAAGCGCCCACGGTGATATTTGCTAATATATTGGCTGGTGAACAATCCCAATTTGCACCTTCCGATTGACCAATGTGCACAAGACTTATTTATTCGTGTATAATACACACTCGTGTGTTATATGCACCCTTAATTACGGGCAATTAAATTCTGGAAAAATATGTTTGTCGTGTATAAAACGCGTAGACCTTTCTTTTATATCATTCAGGCTGTCCGCATAATCAACGAAATTTATGATCTTTTAACCCTGTTTTTTTTCACCAAAATTATATTCTAATAAGAACCCCCTATTCCTAATTTTAAGAGCCCCCTCTGCGCTTATTACGTCGAATATGGTATACATTGTCCAACTTTCTTTGTGTCATGGGAAAAGATAACCAACTCCTTTCAATGTAACCAGTTGATCGTTTATCTAGATGCATTTCTAGCAAATTATCCTGGATGAGACGTATTTATCTGAATTTCGAAACCTGAAAAGGGGCTCCTGTTATATGGCAGAGCTAATATTTTGATAAGAACAAACCTGGTTTTGGTGTGACTCTTTGGTGATTTTTTGTGTGTGTTGTGGACCGCCTCCGTGGTCTAGTAGTAGGGCGGCTGCCCGGGTAGCGGAAGGTCCGGGGTCCGATCCCCGGCCGCGTCATACCAAAAGACGTTACAAGGCGGTACTTGTTGTTACCATGTCTGGCGCTCGGCATTAAGGGGCTAAAACAAGGACTGGTTGGCTCGGAGTCAGCATACTGCGCCAGGGTGGGGTAATCATGTTAAACTGCGGCGTGGTATCTCAGTGTGCTAGCACTATAAATCGGCATTAGTCCGGACACGTACAAGCAGCCAAACACACATGTACAAGCACGTCGCAATATTAGTGCAATAATCTTGGACGCGACGTTAATCTCCGTTTCACCTCACCTTGTGTGTTCTGTTGGCAGGGGTTGAAGTTTGGAGTAGGCTTGGGGTGCGGTGTGGGTGGTGTGGGTTGTGTTTGTGCGGGTGCGGTGTGGGTGGTGTGGGTTGTGTTTGTGGGGCCGCGGTGTTGGTGGTTGGTGTGGGTGTTGTGTTTGGGGGGTAGCGATGTGGGTGGTGGCGGTTGAATTTTGGAGTAGGCTTCGGGTGCTGTGTGGGTAGTGGGGGTTGTGTTTGTGCCACTTGGTGGAGGTGGGAGTGGGGGTTGTGTTGGTAGGGGTTGAAGTTTGGAGTAGGCTTGGGTGCTGTGTGGGTAGAGGGTGCTGTGTTGGTGAGGGTGCCGTGTTGGTGGTGGTGGTTGAATTTTCGAGTAGGCTTGGGGTGCTGTGTGGGTTGTGGGGATTGTGTTGGTGTTGGTGGGGGTTTTGTTGGTGGGGGTTGAATTTTGGAGAAGGCTTGGGGTCCGGTGTGAGTGGTGGGGGTTGTATTGGTGGGGGTGGGGGTTTTGAGGCTGGGGTGAATTTTGGAGTGCGGTGTGGATGGTGGGGTTTCTGTTGGTGGGGTTAGATAGTGACATGGGTGCAATTGGTGGTATGTTGATAAGGGTGATGCTGTGAGATGGTGGTGGTGAAGGTGGTTTTGGAGTCGTTAAGTAGTGTATAGGTCTGAGTGTGATGTTTGGTTTCAGGTATCCATTGAATGCGCGCACAATTCTAATCTTTTCATCAGAGCCTGGGACACGCGCAAGTGTTGACCTTTCTTAATGGCGAATATTTGTTTGTTTGTTGTTAAACGCCACACTCAGCAATATTCCAGCTATATGATGTCGGTCTGCAAATAATCGAGTCTGGACCAGACAAACCAGTGATTGATATCATGAGCATCGATCTACGCAATAGGAATACGATGACATGTATCAACCAAGTCAGCGAGCGTGACCACCCGATCCCGTTAGTCGACTCTTACGACAAACATAGTTGCCTTTTACGGAAAGCATGGGTTGCTGAAGAGCTGTCCCAACCCGGATCTTCACGTGTCGTGTGATGTTTTGGATAAGATGGTGGTTTTGAGTGTGGATGACGGGATTGTGGGTAAAATAGTAAATGCACACCTGACGATATCGCCACTGATAATGGAATGATAATGCTGTAAGTTGCCAGACTAGTGTTCAATCTATCATCAAAACTGGAACAGACAATTCTCTGCAGGCCATATCTGAAGTTTATCTCCCCGACCCTAGAGAATAAATAAAGAAACGACCCCAACTTGAGTCTAGAATGATTTGGCAAGACAAGTTTGCCTCAGCGCTAATTAAGGAGCGGTTGGGTAGCCTAGTGGTTACAGCGTTCGCTCGTCACGAAGATCCGGTTCCGATTACCGACATGGGTACAATGTACAAGCCCATTTCTTGTGTCCCCATCCGTGATATTGCTGGAATATTGCTAAAAGCGGCGTAAAACCATACTCACTCACTCAGCGCGAATTGGCATTGTTCTGGGCTCCATTTGGATTTTACTTTAATTCCGAAGATATACATTTTTAGATATGCTTTTTGCGGCTAAATGTTAGTTTAACCTTATCTGCTGCTACCATACAGCGATGCTGCCAATGTGATAAAATTCAGACAATTAAACAATTTTCTCACGCGCTCACATACTTCGCGAAGCACACACGGAGAATCAAAGATGTGTCAGGGAACTGTTTCAAGGTGAATAGGAATCCAATAACAAGGCAAGTTTGGATGGAAGCCCCAAAAGCACACTTCTATATCAATCCAGTTGCCTGTGTTTGTGTTACAGGCCAAGAGACCCGGCCAGGCCACGGAGGAATACTCCCACCAGGTGCTTGACCGCTACGTCGAGTGGGGAGGCAACTTCCTCGACACCGCCGACGTCTACTCACAAGGACTGTCTGAGAAGTTCATTGGATCCTGGCTCACAAAGTAGGTGCAGATGTACCAGCAGGATCAGCAGCGTGAGGGTGGTCAAGGTGCAGTAATGCACTGACAAGACGTGTATCTGGGAACTGTCAGGGTCTCCATTTTCTGTGTTCAATATGATGCTTGAAGCCAGTGGTATGAGGATGTAATAATAGAGAATACCACACAAAACTGTGTGCGTGCGTGCGTGCATGCGTGCGTCCGTGAATGAGTGAGTTGAGTGAGAGCGTTGAGTGGGTGGGGTTGGGGTGGGGTGCGTGCATGTGTGAGTGAGTGGTGGGTGCGTGCGTGAGTGAGTGTGTGCGTTGAGTGAGTGCGTGCGTGGAGGGTTGAGTGAGTGCGGTTGTTGAGTGAGTGAGTGAGTTTAACGCGTTCGAACAGTATTCCAGTTATATCAGGGAGTGTCAGCTTGATGTGGGGGAAAGCCCAAAGTGATGGCGCTTACCAGTGCCGGCATAGTGATGATTAACCAAGAGCTATAAACGCTGATAGGGCGAATCTGTGACAAATATACAAACAAACATAGAGAGGTCGTTATTCAATACGATACACACCAGACATCTATGACATCAAGAAGCCATATACAAACATCATGGACAAAACAATCATGAAGTAAATTGGAGTCAATTAATATGAAAATCACATCACACGCAACTCTGCATAGGCCTGTGTCCTAGGTCCTATCAGATCCCGACATAGCATCTTTGATCATTTTAGCATAACATGTTTGATGGAGAGAGCATGGTGAACGCATCCATTTCACTGTCATAATAAAACACGAAGACAATTGTTCATCAGTGCATTGGCAATCGATTGGTTTGTTGGATAGTTTGGGACACAGAACAACATAGCCGTACTATTTTAATGTTAGGCCCATTCTCGTGTTCTCGGCAAGCTTGGAAACGAGCCAAATATGACAAAGTGCGAGAATGCAAGAGATAATGAGTGCTGAATTTTTACTGACATGAACAATCACATACAATAAACAGTTATGTCAGGTCAGCGCAACACGGTCAACGCTGTAATCGTCGCACAGTTTGCATCATAAGGTGAGGTGAGGTGAAATGGGATTTAACATCGCGTCCAAGATTATTGCACTTATATAGCGACGTGCATGCACGTGTGTGTGTTTGTGTGTGTGGCCTATTGTACTAGTCCGGACTGATTCCGATTTATACATGTAGTGCTAGCTCAATGAGATACCATGCCGCAGTTTAACATGAATACCCCACTCAGACACAGTATACTGACTCCGAGCCGACCAGTCCTTGTTTGAGCCCCTTAATGCCGAGCGCCAGACAGGGTAACAACAAGTACCATCTTTTAACGTCTTTTGGTATGACGCGGTCGGGGATCGAACTCCGGACCTTTCGCTCTTCGGGCGGCCGTTCTACCACTAGACCACATAGGCGGTCGTTTGCATCATAAGCATAGGATGTTCGATGTTTACTGCCTTCAACAGACACAATGAACGATCATATATATCAACATTGCGTGGTATTGGGGGTACCCCAGAGCCAGGCTGTACTGAAGAAGGGCCTGTCCTAATGTAGATCGATCTGTTCAGGCATTTGAATGTAAAGAAAAAAAAGGGTTTTACTCATCGTTTGTTTAAGGATAAACATTCAAAGTTTGTGGCGTTTTTATTCCAGACAGCCACGTGAGAAGTACGTTATTGCCACGAAGGTGAGAGCAAACACACCTATTGGCGTTGGTCTGAGTCGTCGTCATATTGTCAACAGCATCCAGAGAAGTCTTGAGAGGCTGCAGACAGACTACGTGGATCTGTACCAGGTGAGTACTGTGTGGAGGAGAACCTGTGAGTACTGTGTGGAGGAGAACCTGTGAGTACTGTGTGGAGGAGAAGCTGTGAGTACTGTGTGGAGGAGAACCTGTG